AACCGTATGCGTCCAGATGAAATAATACAAAATGGGGCATTGTTGGTCTTCCTCCACTGGTATACCTCGTTTGACTTTTAATGTGTTGGTGTGTCGCAAAACTAAAAATAAATAAATAAAATAATAAAAAATGAATAAAAAAGCTATTATTAATTATTTCGATAGATAAATATTCTCTTCGACCGTTTTTGCTCCATTATATTCAATTCAGATATTTTACTTCTCTCCGTTGAGATATATTCACTTTACAAAACAGTCGGATGAAAATAATAATATTGAAAAAAAAATGAAAAAATTATCATACCTAGATTTAGGATAACGGTTTTCATTAATCATTTTTTTTATGAGAAGGAACTTCCTTGCATATCAGACTGGTGTTTTTGCTGGTTTTACTACTGCCGGAATTTTCATCTGACATTTGGCGTGCCAGATGAGTCGAGTGCGATACAATGGCGCCAATGAAACTGCACACTTAGGATGAAGCAATTCCACCGTTATCTTTCATACAAGAAAGATTTCCTATGGTTATAAAACATGTTTCACACACATGTAAAAAAGCGAAACTTTTAACAAACGGCCGAAAGTGCTATAAGGCGTGTATAAGTACAGTTGACTACACTTGGAAAACGAGGAAAATGTCAAGAATGACACCTGATTCAAAGTTAAGAGTCGCCGCGAGAACAATAGTGTTCTTAATGTTTTGTTGTTGTATATATAAATGTTGTACCTTGAACCTCATTCAAGTGAGAAGGGGGGGGGGAGCAGGAGGAGAAGACAATAATAACAATATTACTGTATTGATTGGAATATACTACTTAACTTACATTGTTTTACTACGCATTTCTCAAATTAAAAAAAAAGGGTGTTTAGAAATGTTTTGCAAGATTGGGCGGAAGTAAGTTGAGGATGAGATGATTTTTATTTAGCAACGGCCATATTCTCATGCAGTGTAAGGTTAAAAAACAGATAGTTAAAGGCCCATTATGCGTTATTTATTCTATCATTCTTAATTCTCAAAAACATTTTTGGTATCTTATTGCAGTTTCCAAGAATCATACTTATTTGCCATACACATGGAATATCTGTACCTTCTTTTGATATTTCGGCAACTAGTGAAATTATAGGGAATAATTATTTTGTATGGAAGTCAAAATACTAATTTGTTTACCTATTTCTACCTTAAAACACATTTTTGCACACTCAGCGCTGCTTTTTTGAGATTTTTTTCATCTAACGCGCACTCTTAATCCATTATCAGAACAAAGTTAAACACACGTTTGACAATTCTGAAGAATTAAAAAAAATAGAAATAAATAAATAATAACGAGAAAAAAAATGATTTCTTACGCATATTGTGCCTTTAAACAATACTTTTTTTCTTTTATAATTTTCATATTTATGAAAATACAATCTCGGGCTTTCGAGCTATTTTACTCCATATAAAACTGGCAACATCCGCCAGATGCTACCAGAGTGTCATTATCAAAGTAACGGAATACCAAGACGGTCAATTTACAAAGCAGCGTTTTCTCGCATTATACTATTATATGCAGTATCCTCCAAAAGTAAACACATAACAAATTTCCCATGAAGAAGCTCATTGCAAATTAAAGAAAAAGCCCCCGTTAAAGTCCTACAACTTTACAACACTTCCCCCTCACCGCAGTATGTTCTTATCCCGCCAGGCAGGGACTTTGTATTCTTTCATGTCAGGAAGTTAATTAGATAACTTCGGTGGTTCTATTCAGGTGTCTACTTTTACCTGTTAATTTCAGGAAGAGGCAATTAATCATTTAATGTCTTATTCCACGAGTAAAGCTGAAAAGTTACGGTATGACATTGTCACTGTCGGTATGACATTGACAGTATATTTTTATGACATAGACAGTGTCGCTTAGATATTAACAGTCTTGGTGTGACATTTACAGTTCGGTATGACATTGACAGTATATTTTTATGACATAGACTGTGTCGCTTAGATATTAACAGTCTTGGTGTGACATTTACAGTTCGGTATGACATTGACAGTCTCTTGTTATGACATAGACTGTGTCGCTTTGACATTGACAGTCTTGGAATTACATTGACAGTGTCAGTATGGCATTAACAGTTTCTTGTTATCTGATAGACAGTCCCGGTGAGACATTGACAGTTCCTGTATGACATTGACAGTATTTTCTTATGACAGACAGTGTCGCTATGATATTAACAGTCTTGGTATGACATTGACAGTGTTGGTATGACATTGACAGTATATTTTTATGAAATAGACACTGTCGCTATGATATTAACAGTCTTGTTATGACAAAGACTGTGTCGCCTTGACATTGACAGTCTTGGTATGGCATTGACAGTGTTGGTATGATATTGACACTGTCGGTTTGACATTGACACTATATATTTATGACATAAACAGTGTAGCTATGATATTAATAGTCTTAGTATGACATTGCCAGTCTCTTGTTATGACAGACTGTGTCGCTTTGACATTGACAGTCTTAGAATCACATTGACAGTGTCGGTATGGCATTAACAGTTTCTTGTTATCTGATAGACAGTCCCGGTGTGACATTGACAGTTCCGGTATGACATTGACAGTCTCTTGTTAAGACATAGACTGTGTCCCTATGACATTGGCGGTGTCGGTTTTACATTGACAATCCCGGTATGACATTGACAATATTGTAGCCGACAAACAACTACAAGCACTTTTTGTTACTTGCAACGAGATGCATTGGTCAAATTGTTGATGATATAATTTTAAACTAATTCAATAGAGATACAATTTGTAATAGGAAGAATTTAAGAAAAGCAATGTAAATAGACCCTTTCATTTAAGCGATAACAGTCAGGGAAGAGTTACTTCCCTTACCGGATGTGACGTAAATGGGGGATAAAACTATGCATGCCGCATAGAAAGTTTGCTTATTGAAAAGTTAAATGCGTAAATACTGATCGTTCAATTATGATTATAACATGTTAAAATTTACGCATGCATACATTTATTCAATATCAAGACAATAGAAAAAAAAATACAAAAACAAAGATTGAGATTAATTCTCGCTACGGAGTGAAACAGCGAAATTTCAAAGTGAATATATATTTATTAGATCTAGATTTTCTCTAATGCCAGGATAAAAAGCTATTAACTAAATCAAATTTTAATATTTTATAAACACTCATACGCACTGAAATTGCCTATTATAAATTTAAATGGCCATTTTCTAGTTTTCTGTGTCATTTTCTGTCACTTGTTGACACTTAGAGACTGACCTCTCGTAAGAGATATGTCAAATGCTTGCACATAACAAGTTTATTGTTATTCAAGTACCACTTGTTTTTTTAATTGTTTCATTTCACGTAAAACAATGACAAAAACGGAACTAAGCAATTAATGAAATCGTTAGTAATGTTCATATATATATTTTTTGATACCGTATTTCCTCTACAGACCAACATCCTTTGAGAGACAAAAAACTTGGTATGGATACGATGCTTTTTATGATGATGATGATGATGATGTTGGCGGCGGTGAAGCGAGGGCGTCGATGCTAGTAATGATGATGGTGCTAGAGGCGAGGATCAAAGGAAGGGCGACGATGCTTGTGATAATGATGATTTTAGTGACGGCGGCGAGGGTGGAAGCTACGATGCTTGTGATAATGATGGTGATAGTAGCGGTGGCGAGGGCGATGGAAACGATGCTAGTGATGATGGTGTAAGTGACGACGGCGAGGGCGAGGGCAATGATGTCAGTGATGATGATTTTGGCGGCGGCGAGGCGAGGCGATTAACAGTGATAATGATGCAACTTTTACAAGATAAATTTTACTGAAATACTTAGATGAAACAATGCAAAATTGTTTTTTTATTCAACAGAAAATAACAACTGGAGGGCGTTTTAAAACGCGTCGTTCTTTCATTAATTTTGGAATGATCCGATGTTATATATACTATCGTCTGCTACATTGTAACAGCTCAACATGGCCGTCGGTTCAAAACTTGCCATAGAACAGTCCAACTCCCGCTTTAAAATTTGTCCTAATGACGATCTCGATCTTGCTAAATTTTGACCCATTACCTCACCTAGGCACCTTATATATATGAACACTCACACAAAACTTTTACTGTTAGCTATCTGGTCGTCATTTTATCACCTTAGTGATATAGAAACTGAAATCTTTTATCTTCCGCAAATGACAGATGTATCCTCAAGAGGTTTTTTCCTTATGAGTGAAGTGCGCATGAATAATACATAAAATTTAAAGTTTTGCCTTCTGGGCATTATGATATCAAGTAAACAAACTTGATTTTACCTTTCTGTATTTTATACTTCATGTTTTGCATACAGACCTTTTAAAACAAGGACTGGTGGTGACATTCAACTTACTGAATTGTCGGGTCCATCATTTCAAGGGCATGAATTCACGATTTTGAACTGAAATGTCCCCACCGGACTTTCGTAATTAATTTAACAAATATGTTTTGATCTTGTGTTTTTTTCTATTTATTTATCTAATGTTAAGTCGGCAATCGTCCTCTCGTTCCGTAACTGATATTTATTTAATAAGCGTCTGTTTGAGATTCTTTGCCATACGGATGCTTGGTTTACAGGGGGCAGGTGTGACCTCTTGTCTTAGATTTTTTTTCAGTGGTCTTAAACTTTTGCCAGTCTTATTACATGACGTCGTTTGATCATTATATACACCTCATTATATAAATATATATATTATGGTTTACCGACCCGCCGCCTCTCTTTTCGGGAATAAGAAAAATTAAATCGGCAGGAAAAAAGACATAAGGGGGCAATTGATGTCCGGATACCGTTTAATATTGTAATATAGCACTTGTGGAAAGTTGGCTGAATTGCGGCCTTGATATTTAATAGTATCTGGGAGTGGCAACAGCCGTAAACTGTGTGATTGCTGCAAACATCTTTTCATAAAAGTTTTTCTCAAAGGAAATGAATTTACAAACGAGAAATGAGAAAAAAACTCATACAGTGTTCTATCATTTATTATATGAGTTGGAAAAACAACATGTAGTTATACCATATACTCATGCAAAACTCAGTGATATAAAATTGTTTTTTACATATTACAGTACAGACACATATATTATTATATATACATGCTTTGCATTGGAAAGTGAAATTACATTTCATTATTTTTTACAGTGAAATGATATTTGATATTTTTTACTGTAGCCGGACTATTTTTGAATGGGATTAAAAATAATATTTCGTAACTACATGTAAATGGAATTATCAACAGGAATACATTCCGCTGTATGTAAATTCTTTAGGAGAAGCTAGTAAATAACTGCATAGTGCATTGTTAGAATTGTAAGAAAATTCGAGAAATTTTACAGAATTGATACATGATGACGTCATGATGTAGAACGCACGACGTCACGCGGTCCAACAAAAGTGAAAATGACCTATTTTAAAGAAACATGAAATAAATAGAAAATTTGTTTGTTTTGCATGTAAAACTGAACTATATTTTCACCCACTAAAACACACACTCAAGATTATATACATGTGTACATAAAAACTACGCCACTCGTGAATAATTATATTGCATCTGGTATCTACTCAGCCTAATATACATGTATTTCGATCTTACATGCAAAACAAACATATATCCTCTATCTTACCATAATGCTAAGAGAACCACAGCCAAATCACACAAATTTTGTAACATTGTAAGGCAAACGTCGAGACTCAGTCATACATTAACGTCATACTATGAATGAAAATGACGTCACAGTATGTACAGTGCTTGTTCAATTTAAAATTCCAAGCGGCACTTAAGGGACGCAATGTTAATATGCACAATGCTTTTTAGAGACAAATAATAACATTTAGTGGAACATGAAATGGATTTATCTTACAGAGTGTTTCCTATAAAAGACCTGTGGTTACATTTCAACGTCTTGTATTATCGGGTTTGTCTTTACGAAATCACGATTTCAACATACAGATTTCACGACTTCAGCTTCATGAATTCACGATTTCATCTTCATGATTCATTTTCACGAACTCACGATTTCATTTTCACGAACTCACGAGTTCATGCTTTCACGAATTCATATCATTGAATTCACGTTTTGAACTTAACGACTTCAACTTCGTGAATTCACGTTTTCAACTTCATGAATTCAAGATTTCAAATTCGTGAATTCCGTATGTTGAAAACGTGAATTTACTAAGTTAAAATTGTTGATTCACTAAGATGCAATCGGTAATTCATGAAGTTGAAATGTCCGCACCGGTCTTTCGTAGTATCCTTTTATACAGTCATATACTAGTATTCAACATAATAATTGAATCATGACAAAAAATGGGTGTTTGGCTTTTTAAAAAAGAGAAAATAAAACGTTAATATAAGTGTACATGTGTACATGATATAGTTCCTATTAGCAATATTAGAAGATATTTCTGAAGGTATTTAGAAAGACACACGCGAAGGTCGTGATGACAGCAAAGGTGGACATGGTTTCAATCGTGGCTGTGTTACACAAGTTTGACGTACAGACGCACACACTGACACCGTCCTTTTCCTCGCATTCGTCCTTCTTTATGATTGGCAGGCAGTTTCTAATTACATCTGAAAAACGTTAATGAAAGTTCATGTAATTTGATGTTGACTATTCAACAATGTATTTGTCATTTACAATAGAACTTGTATGAGTCGAACTTCGATTAGTCGATTTTCTCGTTGTGTCGAAGTAAAATGGAATGCCCGATTTCACCCTTTATATTCCTTATAAAAACCTATATATGAGTCGAAATGAAATTTAATGTTGACTATTCGGCAATATATTTGTCATTTGATTGTTTAAGCTGTATCCAAAGAAATGTTAACATAAACATATATTTTAGGCACAGTTCATAAGGTGATATAGAAATTTCGGTCACAGCTTTTAGTTTAATATATAGAATAGATTTTAGTTCAATGTGTTGGAAGCCAGAAGCTGATTGATACACTATCGAATCCTTGGAACCAACCAGTACTTAGCAATGAGCGGTGGTTTTGGTGTCCAGATCACGGCAGTAAGCCACATTGAATTTACCAGAGCACAGTCCAGCCACCGCATCCTTCCTGGGCAGACTGTCAAGCAGTTTACCAGTACAAGTTGCCTTCACTTTTCGCAAGGAGCTGATTACTTCTGTTCATGCAAGAGCAGAAGTACAGTGCGAATGCCCATAGAACGGATTTCATGATCAATCACAACGAAAGTGACATTCGCCGTCCGGGAACCGAACACGGTCCAACGCTATTGAGTTGGTATATTTCTGCTCATGCGCAGTCGAGGATTACACATGTACTACTATGTACAATATGTACTACTATACAAACAAGTAGAGATTTTGATGCTAAAGCATCAAGTCGCCGGATAGAAAAATGATTGTATTATCATAGATATAAGAAAATATAAGTTTAATGGTTAAAGTATAAAAATAAGAGGAACAATGAGTTGAGTAATGTTTGCCACCGAGGCTTGTAAGGCAAGTGCTATGCTGGTAATTCTTCTTGTAATTGTACTTTATACATATACTGTTGTACCATACATTGAAATCCGTATAGGTTACTAGTTCAGATTCAGATAATTACCGACAAATAATGACCGATCATCGCATATTTACCGAAGAGCATTAGTGCCAGGAGCATGTTTTTTATTAACTCGAAATTTTGAGTTACTAACTCGAAATTTCGACTTACTAACTCGAAATTTCGAGTTACTTATCTCGAAATTTCGACTTACTAACTCGAAATTTCGACTTACTAACTCGAAATTTCGAGTTACTTATCTCGAAATTTCGACTTACTAACTCGAAATTTCGACTTACTAACTCGAAATTTCGACTTACTAACTCGAAATTTCGACTTACTAACCCGAAATTTCGACTTAGTAACTCGAAATTTCGACTTACTAACTCGAAATTTCGAGTTACTTATCTCGAAATTTCGACTTAGTAACTCGAAATTTCGACTTATTAACATTACAAGAATGGCCAAAGTTATTTTAGATGGTATAAGATATAGTAGGCAGTGCCTTTGAACGATGGAGATGGAGAAACGGGTGCCTGGACAAAAACTATTGAAATTTAACTTAAACTTAGTAATGGCATGTACACACCCGACATAAAAAATACAAGGCTTCCTTTAATTTGTACGTTCAGGCGTTCTTCAGACGTTGTATTGTATCCCATCTGTTCGAACATATCTTTTCACTAATCATATTCTTCTCATCCCTGTAAAAAAACCGATCCTATACTTTACTTGTGGGACATCTGAGGAAAGTATCGCGGCGTGGCCAAAATAGGGCGTGCTGAGGCCTTTGTCAAAATTGTTGGACTGACTATATTTCTTGTAAAATCGGATGCTTTTATATTGTTCCCAACATATATATTATAACAAGTATCACTTTTATCAACTTTTATCAACACAATATGAATCAAAGTATTAGTAAATAATAAATAATGTTACAAAAACATTATTAGTATAAAGAAACGTGACAGACTAACTGGCCTATACACGTCATTTAAAACTTATTTAACACATGATATTGCACAGTTTACAATAGGGTGGGTTTTGGACTTGTTGTTTCTCCATATGATGGTTGTATGTGTGCTTAAGAAAAAGAAACACCCTGTTAACACGGAAATGTAGAAAGTGTGATTTTACACCCCCCCCCCCCCGCTCCACAAAAAAGCGAAGGATATGTTCAGTATGTGTGGACAATTTGACCCTATAAAATTGTTCTGTTAAATAAATGTTAAAGGTGCTCTGTCAATGTGCAACAACTACACACGAAAGAAAGTATCTTGAATTCAATCCTTGCTTTCACCGGCAACCAATGAAAGTCGTGCAATGTAAGTCGAAATTTCGAGTTACTAAGTCGAAATTTCGAGTTACTAAGTCGAAATTTCGAGTTAGTAAGTCGAAATTTCGAGATAAGTAACTCGAAATTTCGAGTTAGTAAGTCGAAATTTCGAGTTAGTAACTCGAAATTTCGAGTTAATAAAAAACATACACCTGGCACTAATGCTCTTCCGTACATATTTGCAAAGTGACTATGAAAATATATATATGTTTAATTATTTCATGAAACAATACAATTTTACTGTAAAAGTAATGTACATCATTATTATGTGCTATAGGAAAAATATATAATTTTGTTGAAATCAATACATGTATTCCCATCGTTACATACGATATATAAAATTAACGTTTAATTGCCTTTCAGTGCGATAAACTATCAACAAAAAGATAGTTTATTATTTTTTTTTCTATGTATCTAATACGAGTCCGGACCCTTAACGTAATACTGTTTTGGAAACCTGCGTGACGGAAACCGACGGAATATACCGAAATCAACGATTACCATTATATATTTCAATAATGTGCCTCTTAAGCATACAATTATTTTGGGATGTTCAACCTAAACTAAACTATTGAACTTTCTTGTCGAAAGTTTGACAGAAAGGGCCAAGTTTAACCCTTTACCAAGAAGAAAGGAAAAGGTTTTGAAAATTTATTTTTAATGTGTAAAATATGAGTAAACAGGTTTTTCTAATGATATAAAGTATGAAACTGATTAGTGAAAAATAACTTATGTAATTATCTGTACAAAATTACAATGATTTGCATCTTATCAGCTACCACACCTTTTAGTTACCTGTATGTCTTCTGTATAGCAATCTGTTACTACTAATAGATTTTATAACGATATACAACATATATAAACATGTAGTCACGTGATTCTTACGAAAGACCAGGGAGAATTTGTTTATAATTAGATAAAATAATGTAATATAATAGGTCTCATAAAATATAAACAACCAAATAATTTTAAAGTGTCATTTCAAATATCATTCATGATTTATATATTATAAAATAGCAATGCTTGACACATAGAAAAAAGTAAAAGTAACCCTAATATTCAATGACTGATCCTTGGGGATACGTTATTGATTCATTTTATGAAAATTGTAATGTTGCTTTTTAAGATGTCAATATGTGCATATTTCATTTCACTGAGCAAAGTTATCATATGTTTGAATTTTTGAGATTACTGAAAAATAATTGTTGTCTTTAATTGTTCAATGATTGATATGCTTTTATTTTCAGATTTTAAGGGCTTCTCCTACCATAGGTATAATATTAAACTGTTACAAATATAGTCGCCGGTTTCTACCGGCGACTAATCAAACTTACTCCCATCTGTTTTAGTCTTCATGCACGAACCAGTGCAAGTGTCCTTGGAAACACCTTCAGCCTTGAATTCATCATTACAACCCATGATACAGTTGTAGCATTCCAGAGCCGACACATGGCATACTGAAAACCAAATAAATAGTGAGAAAATAGGTTTATACAGCATTTATTTATTTCGATTATGTAGGAAGGTATAAGTATTTTGACTGCCATACAAAATGCAAATTCACTGTAATTATACTTATTGCCAAAGAACAAAAACAGCCAAAGTTCACATGTGCACATGGAAAATGAGTAGTTTATGAAAACAGTGTAACAAGATATGTAAAAAGCTTTTTTTTTGAGAAATTGAAATTATATCATTTTTGAAGCATTATGGACCTTTAAAGGTTAACTGGTAAACGAGCTTTTGTTGGATTCAATATTATGGTTAAATGCAGTATCAAATTTTGTTGAATTTAGCCTACAGATGTTTATAAATGTTATTGACATGCCCATGTTTCTTAGAAATTAAAAAAAAAGTTTATTACAAAATACTTCTATTAAAGAACTTCCATGATAAAGTTTATTGAATTACTGTGTAACAATTTAAATAATATATTATTTAATCCGGCAAATATATATAAAAGAATAATTGAATTACAGAAATTCTTTTGTTAATTCTGTTAATGAATGTATATGTCTGTATTAAAGAACATATACATTCCATTTCACTTTTTTATGTAACGTGTAGATTTTTTTCTGATGATATGTCTGTTATGTAAACATATATATTTAATTAAATTTAAAACTGTTGATCCTTAACACTATCATATCAATTTTTGTTGATTTGAAATAACGTTATATATAGAAAAATAACATCATTGAAATGTAACGCGACATTGTCTTTCTATACACTTTAACGTTTAATTGTAAATGTGTAATGCCAGTTGGTTTTACGTAATTATAAATCATGCAAATTAAATATTTCATTCATGTCACGTCTTAATCTCATCCAAGTTAACACTCATTCTTTATAAATGTGTCTATTGTCGTTTTAATTGCTTTCTTAATGTTTTGCGTTTTCATTCTTGCGTCCATTAAAGGCCCATTATGCCTCAGATATGCTATCGTTTTTATTTCTCAAAAACGTTTATTGTATCTTGTTGCAGTTTCCAAAACAATACTCATTTGCCATATTGATGAACTAACATTTGCTTTGTTGCATTATAAACAATTGGTATAATTACAGTGAAATAGTATTTTGAATGGTCGACAAATATATAGTACTATGTTTACATTTTACTGTTCAACATCTAACAGCTCGAAATTCATTATTAAAAACACTTAAAACACAAGTTTGACATTTCTAAAGAGACGGTAAAATATAGATTTCTGAGGCTTCAATAATTTTTTGCTTGTTTGTTTGCATTTCTTTTACGCCCATTTTAACACATTTTTGGTTACATCGTTGCAATCAAATAACCGTCTTTGTAACTAGAATTATGAATTATTCCGCAAGTGACGGACTATAAAACCACGTGGTTATTAGAGACAAACGTATGGTGGCTTCTTTGTGCCTTTCCCGCAAAGCAAAAAGTCGAGAATAAACAAGTTGAAATGGCGGGACGCGGAGCGAAAACACGCTAATTAGCTGGGGCGCGGGGCGAAGTTTAATGAATAAACTTCGCCCCGCAAGGTCGCGAAGCGAGATTTGAAAAAATTAACGGCGGGGCGTGGAGCGAAACACGCTAATAAGCGGGGGCGCGGGGCGAAGTTAAATAAATAAAATTTCGCCCCGAGCCCCCTCTAATTTCCGTCGTCCCGCGAAACCGCCAAGCGAAATGTCGAGAAATAACAAGTTAAGTGGTGGTGGGGGGGGGGGGGGCGGAGCAAAAACACGAATGGCACAAATCAGCCACCATACAAACGTCCATTATATTAGACTTAGTGTCCGAAATCAGTGGTCAGAGTGAAGTATCTCCTTAACCGAAGATCGAACTAGAAGTCCCTGGCTTAAAGGTTCGAGGTTTTTCGCTATTGCGCTATGTGAACGGACTAATATTATACTTATAATTGTTCGTCTAATTTGTATTCTTACTGATTAAGTTATTGTTCTTTAACTAACTCATGTTAATTGCTTATTATTTTATCCACATATGTTTTGTTGTTGCGGCAAACAGCTTTAGGTCTAGAAAGTCGGACGATTTTGAATCAAAATGACCATATTACCAACTCTGATTTACTTCTGTGCATTACATGAGGTCGTGCGTTTTCACGAGATTATATCTTGAGGTCACAAGATTATAAGTCGTAAATTAACTGCAATGCGCGATTTAACAATGTATTATACTCAACATCACTAATTTCGCTTAATGGCGTATTTCCAAGTGACTAGTGTTAAAAATGGTCTAACTTGACATCCTTGAGCAATACACATAAACAACAAAAGTTTTTGTGAAAAATATTTTACATCTGTAGATTTTAACGTGCAAAAAGTCACAGTAGTCAATTAAAAGGTGTGCAAATATCTAAAGCAAACAGCATTTATTTAATGTTTTTGTTTGTTGAAAACAAAAATTGAGTACAAAGTAAAGATAGTGTTAATATTTATTTATTAGCATTATAACACTAATTTTTTACTGAAACATTTTTAAAAAATATTTACTCAGAAATCTATTGTAAACCTTTTTTTCTGTGCTGTTTTCCCTCCGATTTTAGTAAAAAGCGTTGTAACTCTTTTTCACTATTGGGATAAGTTTCACAATTTAAATACTTATTTTGTAAAAAACGGAGTTAGCGAAACTTCCGAAATTTTGCACAATAGTTATTGGTTTAGATTTACCTCAAATGGAAAATTTATTTCCAGTCCCGTCATGTTAAAAAATATCAGTGGAGTCCCTTTTAGAACAACAGCGGCTATTTATTATTAAACATGCTATACTATAATTAGCTTTATTTTATTTGTGCTAGAGATTTTGTTTTGTTCTGTAAAACGTTAAATTCTTAAAGGACTTTAGATCCTCACAATATGAATATAAAGTGTTATTAAAAAAAACTGGCTTTCGTTTTTCAAAATGTCACTTTACTTGACCTGTAATAGATAAAATAGGAAAAAGCAGCTTCCAATACATTCATGTAGTTATTAACTTTCTTTAATTCAAATTAGACATATCAGAATTTCATAGATTTCAGTTAAGTTAATTTCTGTGACTAAAATATATTACTCAAGAATGAGCATTTTATATTTTTAGATTATTAAGATTGTCAACCTTTTTATTCAAATAAGACATATTCAGTGGGAATTTCATAGATTTCGGTTTATTTCTGTGATTAAGATATTTTACTCAAAAATGAGCATTTTATATTTTTAAATTATTAAGATTGTCAACTTTTTTACTCAAATTAGACATATTCAGTAAGAATTTCATAGATTTCGGTTAATTTCTGTGATTAAGATATTTTACTCAAGTATGAGAATTTTTTTATCTTTAAAGTATTAAGATAGTCAACCTGTTTGTTCAAATTAGACATGTTCAGTAAGAATTTCATAGATTTCAATTAATTTCTGTGATTAAAATATTTTATTCAAAAATGAGCATTTATTTATCTTTTAAGTATTAAGATAGTCAACCTTTTTATTCAAATTAGACATGTTCAGTAAGAATTTCATAGATTTCAATTAATTTCTGTGACTAAAATATATTACTCAAGAATGATCATTTTATATCTTTAAGTTATCAGGATTGTCAACTTTTTTAAAATTCAAATTAGACATAGTTGGTAAGAATTTCATAGATTTCAGTTAATTTCAGTGACTATAATATTTTACTTTACTCAAGAATGAGCATTTTATATCTTATCTTATATATTTTACATTAGGATCATTGTTAACTTTTTTTATTCAAATTAGACATATTTATAGTTAAATTATCTATAGAAATATTAATACATCTTACCAGCAAGAGAAAATAAACATAGTCCTAATAACACTTTCATTTTGTCTTTCTTTGGGGGAAATTCGTTTACCGTGTTAACTCGACAAAATGTTTGTAACTAACTGTACGTCACTATGAATAATGTGAATATAAATGAAGTCTATAATCTTACGTTGAATATATACGGTTCGACTACGACACGGTGACTATGGGGCATGTTTTAGAGTATAGGTCTATTCAGATAGTATGTTCTTCAAACGTGTGCATTTATAGTTACAGGCGCGATAAAATATAACGAAATGGAGGTTTTTGTTTTCAATTGACATTACTTATGTTAATGTAGAGAAATGTTATTTTATCGTGAAAGATATTTTTCCGTCCAAAACATAATGTTACGGTTTTTTTTCCAGTTGACATAACTTAATGTTAATGTTGCGAAATGTCATTTTATCGTGAAAGATATGCCCAAAAACATTTCGTATTTCGTATTAATGTCGCAGGTGTAAAAATTTACATATATCATCATCACATCAAAAGGCGATACATGTAATTGGCCAATTTATCGAGATTTCGTGTCGTGTCATCGTCCTGAATGTTGAAGACACGAAAATTTAGCCAATGATCGTGTCTTCTCCTTTCAACCATTGAGGCGAAGACATGACGACACGACAAATATCGAGGGCCAATACGAAGATTCCTTCCCGTCAACACAACTGTCTTTTTGTGATGTATAATATCCGTGTTTTCTTCATATTTTATAACATATTTATTATATATGTATTTCAAACGAATTTTGTCTAAAAATATGTAATTTTTTTACTTTTACTTTGAAAGTTTGAAGAGAAGCATACTCTGGCACACGGAACTGATCTGGATACAGGTTTGTTGCAACAATTTTTTCCCGTGCATCGGTCGCATGTTTCACTATCGCTCACTTTCTTACGAGTTTGTATTCACTGAGCTGCGAAGGGAGCATAATTTGTACATAGCTTTCTTCAATTGAAAAATGAGAACTGTTTTGTTTTCTATTAAATATAGATGTTCCCTGTAAATGCTCTTTAATTGATACACTACAATACAGATTGTCAATAATGAAAGATAAAACAGTATCAAAACAAAAATAAATATATCCTTGGTGATATAAGCTTGTTTGCAGTCGGATGCAGTAGAACAACTTTTTAAAATAGGACTCCACTGACGGTTTTTTTTTGACAGGATGAGACTGGAAGTAATTTTGCAAGATTAATCCTTAATTAAATGTATGTCTATTTCAAATTTTAACCATTACCACCATGTTTAAATGTTGAAGTCTCCTTAAGTCGGTGCTAGAGGGCGTGGACGGTAGTTTTCACTTGACAGTACCGTCCATGAACAGGCTCAATCAAACCGAGCCTGCAACATTTTCAATTATGCCGTGTTGGGCTTTCTTTAGGTATTCTTGTTTTCTCTATTTTGTCCACCAATTTGATGCAGGTCTATACCAATAACTCAAGTGCAAAAGTTCCGATCAATTTCTCAAGATGCTTTTCACTCAAATTTGGCAAGAAATAACTCAAAAATACTTTTTTTCTGAGTGTAGTTCACTATTATCTGTTGTATTGTTTTCATTTTAGTGCCCCAGCATATGCCAGAACTTCCAATTTTATGTTCTTATGTCTTAGGCCTTTTGATTTCACAAGTGTTCCTTTAGATACAACCCGCAGTCAGCAAGTCACATGCCTGAACACGATAATTTTCCCCTTTTTCCCCAGTCATTGACTTTAGTCGTATTTGGTCTATAAGGTAGTTTGACAGCATCTTAAAAGTCAGCTAATTATTGTCCCGATGACAATAACATGAAGATGTCCTTCTTTCTGGGCAACGTGTTTAGGTATGCATTTGGCGATTTTATAATGAATATATATAACTGAGAGCTATGATACTTCATCTGACATCTGAAAGATAGCAGTTTCAGACACCAGGAGTATGTCACAGACACAGACAAATACTCTACCGGAATTTTGTTTATCGATTGTGTGCCCGGGAAACAAACTGTCACAGAAATGGCTTATTTTCTAATTCGCTCTGCTTAACCGAAAATAAATTATTTATCACCTAATAAGAGTTATTAAACCTTCAGTCTTGGACAGAATAAACAAGATTTCAAGATTCAAGATTTTATTTTTCAATATATGCAAAAGTCCCACAATAGCGGGAAACATAAGCAAATTGTGACATACATAAATGCATACATACATACATAGAATCACATAACATAATGTAGTAGAAAACGGCTATTGAGATTTCCAAGAACAGAGCCTAACACAATCATATTTATTTAAGCTATAAAATTTAGCTGGGTATATATATGTAAGTGAAAAGAATAAATATTACAAAATTCAATCATCAAAGACACACAAAAAGAAAAAAGGTCATAACTTATCTTTCGCATATAGTAATTTAAGACATGATTTAAAATTGTCTAGTAAAACACATCAAGTTCTAATAAAATGTTGCATTATTTTCATACAAAAAATACTAAGATTCTTTAGTTTATTTGTATTTTCCGATGTTACCAGGCTTACAAATTTAAACATACTTGGTCTAATTATGTAAAAATTATCTATGTATATTTTTCTATCATTTTCAAATTCTGGGCATACAAAAAGATAATGAAATTCATCGCCAATATCGTTACATATACATGTATTACAATTACGGTCTTGAATAGGTATATTCTGCCCTCGTCCTATTTCAATTGGAAGGCATGATTTCTTGTCAAAAATAGTAATAATTTCTTAGCTAAATTGCTTGGTAGTTTATCTATGTAACAGCTTCTCGAAAAATCCTTTTTGATATATTTGTAAACGTTTGTATCAGAAGTGTTATTTAGATCAGAACGCCAATTTTGCGAGTAAATATCTTTTAACTTTTGAAATGTTGTTTTTATCAACCGCTTACTATTGCTAAAACTTTCTATGTACCAAATCCCAGAAAAACCAGTTTCACATAAATATTGTTTTACATTTTCTATCCACAGTGATTTAACTTTATTATCTATATGTAATTTACGTAAGAAAATATATACAACACTTAAGTAGGATAAAGGCCTCCGCATTGTTTCAATATCGCTACAAATAATAACTGTTATTTCTGTGAATTTAATGAATCCATGTTTTATGGTCTCTGGACATGCAATCTTGAAAGCTCACAACCATCAGAATAAACAATTATATCGATTATTTACGAGTAGATTCAAACAAAACAAACACTTTGTCGCTAACAACCAATCAGTTGATGCGAAAATATGGCTTAAAGTGTACTGGTTGGCGACCACCAAATCCGGACGACCATCAAACCCGGACGGTTCATTAAACGCTTGATTTCGTTGTTTTCTTCGATCAGTTGTTGTCGATCAATCAAACGCTTGTTTTTGACCAACGTCAGAAAGTAGCAGTGTTTGTTTGTAAGTATTTGTTACAAAATCATCGTTTTAATTTTCCAAATTTCACTTCCGTGTTTATCATCGTGGGGGAAGTTGAAAAATGTCCAATGCGCATTCGCAGAATTCCAGCCCCTTCCTATGTGAGGCCCGTCTGCAGTATCACCGATAAATTTATGTCGGCAGAGGATAATATCAAACTTTATTTTCGCCGAAAGAAAAACTTTTTAAAATGTTATGTCATAAAAGTTTTGACATATTTACACCAAAATATCGAAAAAATATGAAAAATAAATGAAAATTTACAAATTTCATGGAAAAACTACGCTCGATTTTTAAATCTAAGGGAGGCAACTCATACGAACGTATTGAGTCGGAAAATTTCAGATTTGTCTCCCTTACAAATAAGTGGATTTCTTATAGAGTCTTTTGCTGCGTGTAAAGAAAAAATAGAAAAAAATATATAATTTGAGTTATTTATGTTGATTTTTTTATTCATCGATTTTTTAACAGATTAAGACTCTTCTTAAGCTTTCAAACACACATACCAATCTGTTCCCTGAAATATTTTAAATCTTGCTCAATGCACAGATACATTATATTTAGCTCCATGCACAATGAAGACCGACTTCTATCGAACGCAAGGGACTGTTAACCTTTCGATCTGTTAATCACTGGGCCATGCTTCAATTTTCAAGCTTTAAATACAAAAGGGTTTTTATTACGCATATTAAGATAATGAAAAGACACAGAAGTTGAAAGTATGCCTATGCTTTGTGCAATATATAAGAAATTCAAACCAAATTTTCATATCTTTCAGAAAATGCAGGCAAACTACTCACCAGGACAATTGAAGAAGGCTTTATCTGTTGTCCGACAGAAGAAACAGCCGATCAGGACTGCAGCCCGGGAGTTTGGGATACCTAAAAGCACTCTGTATGACAGGTTACAGGAGAGACCATTGGACATCTGCAGCCGGAAGAAGCTCCCGAGGCTGTTGACTGTAGAAAGGGAAGGGGCCCTGGTAGAATTTGTACTTTACATGGGCGGTCAGGGCTTCCCCATGACTAGGACCATGATTCGTGTGTATGTGCGGGAGATTTTACGTAGAACAGGTAACATTTAATTAACTATTAAATTCTGATATGATAGGCATGCATATGATAACTAATTCCATGGAAGATTTAACAAATGTAGCAACTACTAGTATATAGATTTGTAAATGCAAAACTTTGTTAAACCTAACATTTCTGCGTCTTTTCATTTGCTCACACATGACCGAGATATTGCGATGTTAACTATAATCTTGTTTTTTTTAAAGGACGTGTGTCCCTCATTTGCATGGACACTGGACCGTCTGATAAGTGGTTCCGGGGTTTCCTCGCCAGACAACCACAACTGTCGGAGAGAACCCCAGAAAACCTGGACAAGTCTAGAGCGAGAATGTCTAGCCAGTATACAATGGACGGCTGGTTTGAGCTCCTTAAGAAAGTTTTGAGGGACAAGAAGCTCGAGAACAAGGAAGGACAGGTACATTTATACCAAGTTTTACTCTTGATAAATTTTTAATCTATGAAATATATTGAGTTTTCTTGGGAAAAAAATATCAAATATTTTCTACATTATCTCTTATGAAGTAAAAACTTTTTTAATTACAGATTTTCAATGTAGATGAAGTGGGTTGGTCGGGGAAGGAGAGAAAGAAGGTGAAAGTGTTTGGACAGAAAGGGGCTCACTGCTTTGCGGCCAACAA